CCCTGAGCCCGAATTCTGCAAGACGCTGTCGCCTCACAGGCTGAAGAAGGCAGGAGCAAGGGACCTGCCGGGCACCCTTGCACCTCTGAGTAGTGGTTCTTTGTTCCACCCCTGTACCTTCCGGCCAAGTGCGTCCCTGCCCTGGGGTCCTGGACCTGGAATGGGGAGGAGGCGGCCATCTGGCCAGCCCCAACAGCAAGGCAGGCGTGAGCTGACCAGCCAGAATCCCAGGCCTCGGGCCCAGCCCTGTCCCCGGTCTCTGTCGTTCTGGCTCCCCGGGTCAGGCTGAGTCGGCAATTTTGGCCGAGCTGATTCTGCAGGAATGTGGGATGGTGTGGGACGGATGGGGGGGACATGTGCGACTTCTTCACGACACAGCCCTGTGGGGGTTGTGGGGCAAAGCTGACTCCGCCCAGAAGTCATTGACTCACTCTGGGGTTCTTACCAGGTTACCCAAGTTTTCCATTTTGTTGGGTCAAGTTGCAAGCGTGCCCTTTGGGAACAAAGAAATACTGCCTGGCTCACTGAGCCGGAAGAGAGGAAGATTTGGCAGCTGCAGCAGGCAGGCAGGGCTGTGGGGAAAGTTGAGGCTGGTCTCCAGTGTCTGCCTGGCCCGAGAGGGCGGGGGCTGGGGGGGCCTGACAGGGAGTCCTCTAAGTTAGAATCTTCTGGAAAGACGCTCCCCTGCACACCCCACACCCCCCCCCCCCCCGCTTCATGATTCAGTGAGAAGCCTCAGAGACAGGATCGGGGATTCGGCGCTTGTCTTGCATGTGGCTGACCCTGGTTCAGTCCCCGGAACCCCCTCAGTCCCCTGAGCAGAGCCACAAGTGACTCCTGCACAACCGTTGGGAGCAAGCCCAGAGCACGGCTGGGTGTGGCCCCAAAACAAGTACGAGAACCAAAACCCCCTCCTCTGACGCAGCTGTGAGTCTGCTTTTACGTCAAGGAACGGTGCTCCCAGCTTCCCGACCTGTCTCTCGCTGAAGGAGGGTCCAGCAGGGCTCACGGTATCTTAAAGTTTATATCCGGGCCTGCTGGAAGAGCTGGCGAGGCGGGGGGGCTAGTTCAACAGGCCTGGCTTCCTTCCCTGGCTCTGCGGGGTCCCCCACGCATGGCGCACAAGTGGGTACGGCCCCAAACAAAAGCAAGTTTGTAAACACCCAGGCCAGAGGCGTCCAACACCATGGCACGATTTCTGTTATGAACAGAAGGAACGACTGACTCGCTAAGCTGTTACAGGGAAGAGAACAGAACAACGGTGCCATCTGCGGCCAACTGTTGAGACCGATCTCCAGCCTCCAGGTCCAAGGCACGTGCTCCACCACTGGGCCTTCCAGCTCACTGTACTCTTTATTTCTCCCATAGCGCTCAGGGGCTACTCCTGACTCTGCTCAGGGGACCATATGGGCACCCGGGATCAAGCTGGGGTCGGTCACGTGCAAGGTAAGCCCCACGTTCCCCGTATTATCTGTCTTGCCCTGAATTTTTGCCTTGTTTGGGGGTCACCTCCTAGAGGTGCTCAGGGATCACTCCTAGAGGTGCTCAGTAGCCATTCGGTGGTGCTGCGAATTAAGCCAGAGTCGGCCGGTGCAAGGGAAGCGCCTTGCCTGCTGTTCCATGTCTCCAGTCCTGCACTTTTCAAAATCAAAATACACACAGATGAGGCCAGAGCAATAGCACAGAGGGGAGGGCGTTTGCCTTGCACGTGGCCGACATGGGTTTGATCCCTGGCCTCCCATGTGGTCCTCCGAGCACCACCAGGAGTAATTCCTGAGTGCAGAGCCAGGAGTAACCCCTGAGCATCACTAGGTGTGACCCAAAAAGAAAACAAAAATACATGCAGATACACCTGTTGCACTGTCACACTGTCGTCCGCTGTTCATTGATTTGCTCGAGTGGGCACCAGTAACCTTTCTATTGTGAGACTTGTTACTGTTTTGGTTTCTCTTCAGATCGCATAAATCTTTCACAGATACATCAAGACTGGAAAAAGATGACTATTCCCTCCATAGACAACTCCCTCTCGGTAAAAATAGTAATCACTGTAGTACTGTAGCACTGTACTCCCGTTGTTCATCGATTTGCTCGAGCGGGCCCAGTAATGTCTCCATTGTGAGACTTGTTGTCACTAATTTTAGCATATTGAATACGCCAAGGGGAGCTTGCCAGGTTCTGCTGTGCGGGCGAGATACTCTCGGGTGCTTGCTGGGCTCTCCGAGAGGGACAGAGGAATCGAACCCGCCTTGGCCACAAGCAAGGCAAATGCCCTACCTGCTGTGCTATCGATCCAGCCCAGTTTTTAACATTTTAAACTTTTCTTTCTTTGTGGAAGCGGGGGCCAGGGGAACCACGTTCTGGGTGTTGGAGGGCTGGGCCCAGCACCATACCCTGCAGCCCATGCGGGGGTCACACTGGAGACGCTGTGTGTGGAGCCCACGCTCCAACCCCCCAGGCCATCTGCCCAGCCGCAGCCCTGGGAACTGCTACCTCCAACCAGGAGGCCCCGAAACACAGGCGGCAGATAGCACTTGGACTTCCACCCATTTCGCAGCCCTCCTCCAAACAGAAAACAGGAAAACTATCAGCCGAGGGTGGAGATAGCCTAATGGTTACCGCACATGCCCAGCGGGCACCTGAGCACAGTCCTGGTGCACGTGGTCCCCTGAGCACTGCGGGGAGAAACCCAGGGCACAGGGTGGGGAGAAGCCTCTGAGCACCACCAGAGGCGCCTCCCCAGACAACGCAAAATTCACTGGCATATAAATAAAGCTACAGGCTCTGGGTGGAGCCCAAGGAAGAGCACTGTCTCTTATGAGTGAGGCCCAGGGCTCTCTCCCCAGCCCTCCAGAACAACAAAAACGAAGTGCTTGTAAAGGGATCAGGGCAGCGGTAGAGAGGAGGAAGCGTTTGCCTTGTCTGAGGCAGGCCTGGGTTCTGGGTTTGATCCCAGCATCCCATATGGTCCCGTGAGCACTGCCAGGAGTGATTCCTGAGTGCAGAGCCAGGAGCAACCCCTGAGCGTCACAGGGTGTGACCCAAAAAAGTAAAAAAAAAAAAGTAAAGCACACAAATGCTGCTCCATTTAATTTCCCTTGTTAAAAAATAGAAAAGTTACTCCAAAGAGGACGACTACTCAAAGGCAGAAAATGAGACAAGACACGTCTCTGGAAAAGCAGCAGATGCAGCCAGCAGGGAGAGCATCGGCCTCCCACGCGGCCTGCCCGGGTTCGGTCCCTGATCCCATACGGTCTCCGAGCACTGCTAGGCGAGATTCCTGAGCACAGAACCACCACTCAGACAGCAATCCCCAGAGTGACGGGCAGAATCATGGCCACAGCATAAGGCGTGCGCCTTCGCGCTAAAGGAACTTTCAACTGATGACAGCGCACCGTGTCTCTCCATTTGTCTGAGGAATCGTTTTAATTCTTTGTGCGTTTGGAACCTCCCCTTATAGCCACTTCCTCTCCTGCAACTGCTCTGGCGAGGAACACACGGTCCGTGTCCACGATGTGTCTGAAAGCATCAGACGGAGCTAAAAGGAGGAAACATGCTTCTCACTCCTCCCGGGCCCAGGTGCTGTCTGGGCAGTTGAAAAGACTCACTTCCTTCAACCAGGGAAGCGGAGCTCTCCATGTGTCTTACTCACGTGAGGCACAGAGCAAAGTCTGAAGCACGAGAACAGTAAACTAACGCTCTCCTCAGAAGGAGCACTGTTAGGAGACCTGACAGTAACTGGCTTAGCCGATGGTGGGGAAAGAATTCTGCTCTTGCACATTAAATCAAGTCATGAAAGTGGGAGGGAAAACCGGGTTTTCTCCTCTGTGGATCTTTTCTTTTTTCCTTTTTTGGTTTTGGGGTGATACCTGATGATGCTCAGGGCTTCCTCCTGGCTCTGTGCTGTGGAATCACTCTGGCGGGGTTCAGGGGATGATACGGGAGGCTGGGGATGGAACCCGGGGCTGCAGTATGCAAGACCAGCTCCCTAACTGCTCCCTCCGGCCCCTCTAGGATCTTCTTGGATTCATTTATTCCCCCTGAAGCGTCGCATCAAGTGAAGTGTGGGCTGGAGATGAAAGGGAGCGGCATGCTGCCGAATGAATCAATGACTCAATCAATGGATGTGGGGCACCCACAAAAGTGAATGATCCATGCCCAGGCATTTCCGAAGACCTGCCATCAGCACCCACGAGCAAACCATTCCCCTTCCCTCATTCAACTACAAGTGCACCAATCCCTTTTTCACGTCCCATGGCAGCTGGCAGGGGATGGCACATTCAAGGTCCTTTCTGGCACGAAGCTACCCTCTGCCCTCTCTCGAGTGGGGACGGGAGCGTCCTCTGTGGCAGTTTTGACGAAGGCAAAACAGTAGAAGCAACTCCTGGCGTTTCCAGGATCATGGACCATCAGCAATTCCGACTTCCTGCTGCTAGAAACATCTGCTCGGGGGTGAACCCACATGGCACGGGAAAACGCCAGAGGGCAATGCCCGGGGCAGACGCTGCACATTTCCATCCCTCCAGGCTCGCTCTCCTGGCATCCTCCCTCAGACGCTATGCCCTGGAACATCATCATCCCGGACACTCCTCGGTCGCTCACCAGGAGAATCCACCAAGTGACTCCATCCGCAGTGCCCACATCAGCCCTGCCAAGCCCAGCCAAGCTCCTGGCAGCTGTACTGCGACACAACAATGCTGATCTCAGCTCAAGCCACCACGTCTGGGGATAACACATTGGCAGCCGGCAGCTCACAGAAAACGGGTCGCTTCTCTGCCACTCGCTAAGGTTGGCTGTAGGAAAGTCGCCGCTTCTGTCCTGAACATCAGCCGTGGACGTCACTGGCGGGCATCTCAGCTGGCCCTCGGCGAGCCCAGCTCTCCAGATAGGGTGGGGGGGACGACGCGAGCCGGAGAAAGAGAATTCTGCACCCGGGATTGGGAAGGCCTGTGTGGCCGGGTCCTCCCTCCCCCCGCCCCCCAACCAGCGCCGCGAGGTCCTACCTGCCTCAGGAGCTCCTCCTGGCGCATCCGGATCCTCTCACGCTCCATCTGGATCCTCTGGAGCCGCAGCTTCTGCTGCTGCTGCTGCTGCGTGGTCAGCGCGTTGGGCATGGCCAGGAGCCCGGTGGGCGGGTTCTGCGGCGGGTGGCTCTGTGGGTTCAGCGAGCTGGCGGCCATCTGCTGCGGGTGCTGGTGGCTCAGCACTGCGGGAGGAGGAACACGGCGGGTCAGCCCAGGGCCTGCGACAAGGCCTTCCGCGGAGGCCGCGAGGGTGCTGGATTCCAGGGAGGCCTGCCCCGGGCCTGCCTGTTAACCATTCCTCTCCAAGCGCCTCGATTCTGCCACGGGGACCTGGGCACCAGGCTCTCCTGTCTGATCATGCCTCGGCTTTGGACCCTGGTGGGAATCCGGGGGTCTGCCCTTCCCCGGGTCTAGGGGACAGCGTGAGTCTTTCCTTGGAAGGGCAAAATGATAGCCTCTGAGGTCTTTGCAGGGGGGTCCACCCTCTTCTCTGGCAAGCTGCATGCTTAGGGGAGAAGTGGGGGTCCAGGGGGCCCAGGCACTGGCTTTGGTTCAATTCCTGGCACAATTTTTGGTCTGGAGGCCCTCCAGGACTGATCCCTGAGCACAGAGCCAGGAGTAAGCCCCGAGCAGAGCCAAGCATGACCCAACATCCAGCCCACAATACACACACACACACACACACACATGCACACACACACACACACACACGCACCATTAGGGAGGATATATATGGCCCCCTTCCAACACAGAGGGAGGCCCAGAGTGTCTAGGATGGACAAGTGGTTGTAAACAACATGGAAAACAGCACGATCAACATCGCTCAAAAACTGACACAGAAAATGGTTGGTCTAAAACGCCACCCCGACCCCCAGCAAGGAACATGAACTAAGTCGGAACCAAGTATCAGATCTCGGGGGGCGGGGGGGGCGCGGAATAAAGGTTCCATCTTTTTTCATTTTGGGTCACACCCAGCAATGCTCCGAGGTTACTCCTGGCTCTGCACTCAGGAATTACTCCTGGCGGTGCTTGGGGGGCCCTATGGGATGCCAGGAATTGGACCCAGGTCGGCTGCATGCAAGGCAAATGCCCTACCCGCTGTGCTATCGCTCAGGCCCAAAGGTTCCATTTTTTATAGCGGGAAAATGTTCACGAGAAAGAAAGTGTATTAAAATGCTGACCACAGGGTGGCTGGATAAGGCACCAGAAAGGGTGTGAAGTATATTTTTCCCTATTTATCTGCATATAATAACATTTAAAATACTAGCATGTAGTACTTAGCTTTATGGAAGAACTCTAAAATCGTTCTGTAATTTTTATAGTTGGTATTCCCACCAAAACTAACATTTCAAAAAGGTTTATTTTTCCCCCCTTCAGTTTATCAGAAAAACGTGCTCAAATTCTGGCTGGGCAAGAGTCCATACGTAACAAAGAAAACCATAGTTTTTAAATCCATATGTTCCCACATCAGGGCCAAAGGCAACGACTTACAGACTTGCTTCATTTATGCGAGCTCAATTTTCACTGTATTTGCTATCACTATTGTTTAAAGATAAAAATTATTAGCATAGTATTTAAACTCCCAAAGTGAAATGTTTGCTGAAGACATTTTGTGGAAACAGGTTCCATAACTAATTTCTTTTGGTGGGGTCACACCTGGTTGTACTCAAGGCTTATTCCAGACCTCAGTTTTCATCCCCAGGTGAAAGGAAGAGGAAAGAAGGCACTGAGGGTGAATGAAAAAGGAAGGAAGGAGGGAGGGAGGGAGGGAGGGAGGGAGGGAGGGAGAAAGGGAGGAAGGAAGGAAGGAAGGAAGGAAGGAAGGAGAGAGAGAGAGAGAGAAGCAAGTAAACAGACACTTAGAAGAACAGATTCGGCTCTGGTAACTTATTGGCCCCCAAACCACAGCAGGACTCTGCAGATCAGGCCAGACTAGGTGACTGGCCAGTGTCCGAACGCTCTGTCCACAGTACACCGTTACTCAATTCCCCGCCACCGGATCCTGCTCGGTCACAGTGACTCTGGCTGCACCCTATCTGGAGGTCCGGGCTTGGAGTAGAGCTCCCCCCCACCACACCCGTGCGAGTCTCCGAACACCAGCCTTCCGTTCCTTGCAGTCCGCTTATATGGGATGATGGCCCAGACTGACTCTCCGGCGAGGCACCCACAGAGAGGGCTCGAGGGGCATAAGACGGTGCCTGGTTCTGGCGCGTGCATGCCAATGAGCGAAGGGCACGGACGAGCCCGGCCCACCCATTCATCAGCCCCGCTCCGAGGGATTTGACGTGACCAGAGCAACGGGTGATGAGCTCTGCATAAACCTCCATGGACAAGCTCGAGGGAATACGCAGGGGGCAGCGTGTCCAAGGAGGACCACAAGATAGTCCGAGGTCCCAGTGCATAGGCGTGGCATGTGGGAGCCCCAGGATAGATCCTGGAACAGAAAATCTATCAATAAATCTAGAACAGCAGACAGAAACCAAGGGTGTGGGGACCAAGACGTTCGCCTCACCCGTGTCAGCCCAGTCAGACCCCGAGCACTGCACTTGGTCCCCTGAGCTTCCTGGTACTGTCGTTGTGGTTTGAAGTTTCCTTAGATGTATTTATTACTCATGTGAAGCATGGACAAAAGCATAAAAGTAGAAAACAACTGAAACAGGACATTCAATTCGTGGCTATCGGAAGGGAAGAGAGAAGGAAGCCAGGGAAAGTAAGGGTGTGTGTGTGTGTGTGTGTGAGAGAGAGAGAGAGAGAGAGAGAGAGAGAGAGAGAGAGAGAAAGAGAGAGAGAGAGAGAAACAGAGAGACAGAGACAGAGACACAGAGACAGAGACACAGAGAGAGAAGAAAGTGTCTACCAGCGAGGCAGGCTGGGGGCTGGCTGGTGGGAGGGAACCTGGGGACACTGGTGCCGGGAAATGTTCACCAGTGGAGGAATGGGCGTTGGGACGCTAGATGACTGAAACCTAATCATGAACCGCTTCGTGACTGTGCCTCCCTGTGATTCCATTTGAAATCTGGCTCTAGGGACTCGGGACCGACTGACAGGCAGAGAGCAAGAGCGCTGGGGAAAGGCAGGCACGGCCCTGTGGGGAGGAACAGCAGCTCTTGGGACCGTGTTCCAGAATATTCCAGGGACGGAATAATAGTTCAGTCAAAAAAAGAAGAAGAAGAAGAAAAGCCAAGAATTAAAAGAAGAAAAACAACAGCCTGAGTATCCGGCAGGCGCCCACCGAGGCCGGGCAGAGCCAGCGGGCGGTCCCCACTGCCCCCGACAGGCAGAAGACACTGGGCAAGTCTCCACAGAGGGAAGAAGCCAAACAGAAGACCTCCAGCGGGGGCAGAACCGGGGCTGAAGCTTAAACCCACATTCCATCGTTTCTCACTGTTTCCGGCTCCTTCTCTCCCTCCCCCCCTTCCTTTGATCTTCCATCCCCGGCTTCTGGCTGGGCATTTGGGAGTCAGGAGGACCATGGGCAGCTGATAACGGGCCCGAGGCATGTCACGGCCCTGACTCAGCAGACGCTGGAGGCCACATCGGGGTTCGCGGCGGGGCTCGGTACAGGACCGGGTCCACGCGGGCAGGGCCGCCCACTCTGTCCCTGCCGGGCAGCACCTGGTCCTGTCGCCCCCCAGAGGCCCAGGAGCGGGTTCAAGGCCAGGCCGGGCCTCGCCTCGGGTTTGAGCAACAGGCTCCTCACGGGTGGCGGGGACACGGGTGGGAGGCGGTGGAGGCGTTTCCTGCCGGTCATGGCCCCGACCTGTGGGGCTCTGGCGCTGCCTCAGAGGCGGGAGCTCAGGCCGGGAGGCCTCAAGCAGAGGCCGCGGGGCTGGGCGCGCCTCCTGGAATGTTTGACAAACGTCTTCTTGGCCTGGAGAGCTGCAGTGGCGGGCGGCGTGGACCCAGGCTGGCTTCCCTCAACGCTAAAACAGGCCTTCAGGCGTCTGTTTGTTCCGTCTGCCCGCCTGTCTCTCTCCGCCCCTTCTGTCTCTGTCTGTCTCTCTCTCTCCACTCTCTCCGGCCCCCTCTGTCTCTGTCTGTCTCTCTCTCTCCACTCTCTCCGGCCCCCTCTGTCTCTGTCTGTCTGTCTCTCTCTCTGTTAGACACACACACACACACACACACACACACACACAGAGTCAAGAGATGGAAACAAGCACTGAGGTTAGGTCTCCGCCTCCCCGCCCCCCCCCCCCACGCCCTCCCACACCCACACAGGACCAGCTCTCTGAGGAGATGGTGGAAGGGAACCGAGGGTGCCTGTGGCTGGAAGGACAAGGAAGACCCAACCCTCTTCGAAGCAGAGGCGCCGGGGTATCACGTCAGGAATTGCTCCTCCACTCTGGCACCCCCACTGGCTCTCCCCGCCTCCAGCCCCATGAGTCCCATCAAAAATGACCCCTGAGCACAGAGCCAGGAGTAAACCCCGAGCATCCGCCACGTTGATCCAGAAACCGACCAACTAAGCCACTGAACACACATGGTTTTGCCAGCGTGCCAGAGGGGCGAGCCTGTGGATGCAGGGGGCCAGGGACCCTGCGCCACCGCCCTTCCCCCCGCCCCTCCCCTTCAGCCTGTCGCAGCAAAGAAAGCAACCCCTGCTGCCTGCTCTGGCTCGTCAGCCGGACAGCAGCATGAGCCAGTGACTGAACAGGGACAGAGAGAGAGGCAGAGATGCCTGTCCCGAAGGGAAGAATTCCAGAAACTTCTTGGAGCCACTCTGAGGAGCGTCGCTGTGTTTGGATGGGATGGCGTGGACTGCAGGGGGAGTCCGCTTTGGGGGCACGGGGTGGGGGTGGGGGCCCATGGATACCATGGAACCCTTCTGTGGTCCTCCCAACCCGCCTCACACCCTGATTTGGAAAATCACTGGACAGTGTCCAACAGTCCGGAGACCCACAGAATTCCCAAGAACCCCAGGAGACGGGAGAAGTAACAGGCGGAATTGTGCAAGGGATCCTGGAACAGGAAGAACCAGCGGGAGAAGCCACGGAGACCCGCAGACAGCGAGCCCCAGGAGGAGCAAACGCAAAAGCAACGCATGGTGTCGAAAGGGGAGAAATGGGCAGAAAGAGAGCACGGAGGGAGGCACTTGCCATACACAGTCACCTGCGCTAGACCCCTGGGATCCCAGGTATGCCCCAGCCCTGCCAGGTGTGACCCCTGAGCACAGAACTAGGAG